CAGTCCAGCAAGGTATTTCAAAATGATTTGGTAGTTTTATTTTTTGATGTTTGCAAATGTTGTATTTTCCCTTTAAGCTTTCAACTTCATTATGTGAAATTCATCCATAATCTTTATGATAGCGTATTACACGTATGTACATTTTGATATGTATGTAATAAATATTTATGTGTTAAATACTTGGGACATAAACTACAGTGTACATGTAAACTATCATTGAAAATTGTGGCATAAATATATATAATATATAGTAAATGTCAAATATTTATATAATGAAAAGAACATTATGGCCTGGAATGCACTCAATTGGGCTACAAAACACTTTCTAAACAAAATGATAGAAATAGCATTTTATAGTAGAATTTAAACATGTACATTAACACCACCATCCTCTAAAAACTGGGCATTTTTGTGTTATTCTTATGTAAAAATTACAACTGCGTCTTCAATGCCATTAGGTACCCGGTACATGTACGTGTGCGCGCAGTGTGCAAAATGTTCTAAACACGCGCACGTTGCTTGAAATTTCTTTGAAATATGGCAAAGCACAGCCGATGCGTGTCACGAAAATGCAATGCACGTGACAATCTGTAGGCAGTGACATGTTCGAGAGAGACCTATTACGGGGTACATGTAATCCTATACAATAGCACTGCCCGGCTTACAAGTGACAGTCAGTGAGATATAAAGAGGACACTCGGTTGGCCCTCTGGGACCAGCATACTCATTAAAATATATCATCATAAAAATGGCATGTACATACATGTGTAGAATAATAGAAATTTGTAGAAAAAACATAATTTTGAAATTGAAACTAGGGGCTAAGGTATTTATGTATATGAAGTAAATCTTCATTCAGGTACAAGCTACTGGCAGTAAATTGTAGCCAAACGACATTGATCTATCCTGTATGAATCATATCTGAAGCTAAATGTATTCTCCCATTGACGTTTATTGATTGCCTCCTACTCCACACTATTAAGGTTCCGGTTCAATCCACTGCTATTCATAACCTTTGTTATGTAAATTAGGTAAATGATTCAGTTGACATTTGCATAGATCAGCATTGCACTTTGAAAGGATTATCCTTTAGTACAACAGCATATTGCTGACAATTACAATTCATATGGAAGGCATTAATTAAAAAAAAAAATAACATGAAGTGTGTAGAACTTTACAAATTTTGTAAAACAAAATAAGTAACTAAATAAATACTGGAAACTTTCCAGAATTCATCCAAAGCTGGCACTGCAGTATTCCCAATTTTATATAAACTGAATTTAAGACAGGGATTCTGATATTCATACCGAAATTTTTAAAAGGCAAAATTCTGGCAAAAATCCCAGCCAATGTCTGATATACAGCCAAATGCCACAAATACTGATTCGCAAGAGTAATTTCAGCAGTATTTGTACGATATTTCTTGCCGAAACCTCATATGATTCAATACTCCGGGGTGTGCACTGGAGCATTAATTGTACAACAATAGGCCGTGCACAATGGCCCACACAATGGTCAGCACAGAGTCTGACTCCACAGACTACACGGACTTTGTGTGTGTGTGTACAAAAGGCACGATGGATGAGCGTCTTTAGACGTCACTCGGAGGCGAGTCGAGGCAATCTTGACGTCTTAACCCGTCAGCCGTGCCTGTGTATAAAAACAGCCAGTGCCTGTTATCACGGCCTCCGGCGTGAACTGGTTAAATGGCAAAGTATCTTACTAGATGTCTCTTTTAATCAGAGACTCTTTAAGTTGAGGAAACATCATGTTTGTTCGTGAGTGACAGGACTTTGAAAAAAATGTAAAACATAAGATACATTTGATCTCTGGAGTATAGGGCTAGCCAAAAACACGCACATGCACGGCGAGATTGAACAATGTTGAAATAATGACAAGAACTTGATATGAAGTGGCTACAATATTCCCTATGCACTGGTACAGTGTTGATGGAAATACGTGAAACCGAACATTTCACAGCAGGCAATTAAGTACACGGCAGTCTGCAGCAGTCCCAAGGAATGACCCAGATTTGTCAAAGAATTATCCCTCGCCAACTGGAGCTCATTCCAACCATGGCCGTCAACACCTGTCATTTTTCCCCTTCTACTGATGTAATTGTTCAATAGGCATTTGGTTGAGCAGTAGAGGGCGCTGTACAGTGCTATTTACTGAGCAACATAACGGAAGAAAAAAATCCTGTTCATTGAAGCTGGCCAGTCGCTTTACTTATAGGATCAGTTGCAAACACTAAAAAAATGAAACGAACAAAAAAATAGCCCACTTGATTGTAAGTAAATAATAGTATGGAACAAATCGTTGAGCCTGGTGGTATGCTGTCATTCTCAATGAAAAGAAGAATCTTGTATCAGTACTTACGATGATTAGGACCTAACCATCGCTGAGAACAAACAAGATTCTCAAATACTACATCCGTTAAATGGCCGCGAGTCAACTGTTGACTTCATGCGTATGCTCATGCAGGTACGCTACTTTATATGTAGGAATTACTTTTACCACGACAGAGCCGGCATTCGGGCACTCCCTGTGACCTATGGGTTCTATGCATGACAGATTCTGTGGGCTGCACTTTGACGGTTGAAAATGAACAGCATTTGTTCATGTTTTTTTCAGCGCCAATGGACACAAAACATTGAACAGCTCAGTGAAACGATGTCTACTATAGGTTGTCTACTGAAAGCCCTTAAATCAGTCCATTTCATAAAATTACGACAATTGCAAAGCAGCAAAGGTCCTTTCTATGCCTTCAAATCTAAAAATCAAACATTGAAGAAAAAAAAAGGTAATTTTTGAATTGCAGTGGCATGTAAAGTTACATTAACAACCTTGTACCGGTATGTACACAGCTGTTTATAGCCCCAAAATTGCATCTTTGCAGTGTTGTCTTTTGCTCGAGAATAATGCCTTTTCCATTCACATTTTTCGTCCTCTCAATTATCATAATTAATGAATTGGCTTTTAATGTCAGCAGCAGATGACACAATAAAGTGAGCAAGGTAATTATAAAAAAATAAAACCTATGAGCAAACATTATCACCAACCTTTTAACTTTTGTCAACACTCAGTGCTCTCGATTTAATATCCAGTCTGCATGGTCTGTGGCCATATCGGAGGGGTTAGGTTACACCTAGATTGGTAGGAATAAATGAGAGAGATCTAGCTAGCAGCGGTCTCTAGCTCTGGCGCATTTAGTCGGTAGACTCGACGAGAAACTTGAGGAGCTATTAGCCCAGGTAGATACACCTGGGGTATGTACGTACATTGTACGGCTACAACATACGGGTATGGATATTACGTGCATACACCATCGCCACGAAATCAATTCTCTGTTCTCTTAAGGGATGTTTATGTACGACCTGTGTATGTAATCGATACTAAGGAGCGTTCTGGAAGAGAGTTTTGCAAGATTTTTGGTAAATTGCAGTTTGTGGATAACAGTACTGCTTGTTAGCGTACATGCAGACCATTCTAAGCCTGTTCACTGTACACTCCATGGAGGCCCCCTTTAATGGTGAAAGCATTGTGTTAGCTATTGTTTAGTCTTGGCCCAATATGCTAGTAATCGATAGTGGACGGTGCATAGTGCGCCCTCTAATGGCACAACAATTAGACCAGCGGGCCCTCACACTAACGTCTTGGCCACTTCGTTTCAGCGGTTTAACTTTTTCTTTATTCTCTCCTTAAATTTGTCCTTTCCAAGCATGACATACACCCTTTGACTAGAGCCCCCAAAAGTTGAGGTTTTTCATGAATACAGATGTTGAGAATTGAAAGAGGTTCTACATAAAATTTATTTGGTTGAAAATTAAATTTAGGTTTCATTTTAAATGAGAAATGGGCATTCTTGACATAATAAGCTTCTAAAGGGTTTTGGGTTTTTTTTTTTTGGGGGGGGGGGTTGAAAGTGGATGAGCATATTTTTTGTTTACTGACTTCTTTTAGCAATTAGTTTTTTCCCAGGAATTGTGTATACTGTTACAGCAGTTTTTTTTTAAATTAGTTCCTAAAAGATGGCAAAAAAAGTTATTTTATGAGACCCTCATTATTTTCAGTCTACAAGTATACATGTATGAGTTAATCCATTTGTTACCCACAGGATGAGAATCAGACTTCAACTGAACCATGGGAGTTTCTATGTTCTTTGCCATTTGATATGCATATGCTGTCCAGTATGACACTGTCAAATTAAACAAATTTAAACCTTTTAAAAGATTAATGCACTAAAAGGTTAAATGTGTTCATGTGAACATCCCTGGGTTGTTTGGCATGGACTCTTTGGCATAGACCGTCTCCATACCTTGTATTTGTTGAGTGTGACATCAGTTTGCTAAGATTGAAGGCATGTTTGCTCAGTTCTAATTGTATTTGCTTATAAATTACGTCATGAAATTTGTTTAATTGAAAATCATTGATGTCTATTCCAAAAATGTTGGGGATCAATACAGTACATGTACCTTACTTCTATTAATTCTTAGTAGCACATTTTCAACTCTAAAGATTTCATTCAATGGTCCAAGGTCAATTTTAAGAGATGGATTAAAACAAAAAATTATTAAACATTCTGGTATTAGGCTCAATAGGCCACTGCCTATAGCTGCAGATTTGAACATTAATTCTATCTTGCTTGGCATTTTTGCTATAGACATCATTGAACAATCCTTTAAAATCCCCTAACACTAACTGAAGAAGCATAAGGGTATTATATTTTTAACTTATCAATTGAAATTCAACAAGATTTTGCCTCTCTACAGACAAATACATGTACGGTAGCTCACCTTAAAACACTTCACATCTTAAATAATCCCAATTGATTCTTCATTTTTTTTTTAAGTGTTTTACTTTAAAAAAAAAACAAGGTTTAGAATTTAACAATTGATAAATGTATCATTCCAGTACAGGGAAATTTCTGTGCACATGTTTAACGAACGTGTTTTTCTCCCTTTTTTCCCCCCTCCCCTTCTCCCCACCCCCACTCTCAGGATCGATCACCTGCCTAGCCGACCTGATACATGTCCATGATTAGTGTCCGCTCGCCAACGCGCCTCCATTACCACCGCACATCCACAGAGCACTTAGGTATATCTTTAGCCTGCTGTACATGTGCCCCGTTCGCACATTGCCACACACAAGCCTGAGCGTCACAGGGCAAAATCACTGCTTCCTTTCTCATTCTGCTGAGAGAGAGAGAGAGAGAGACGGTGTTTTCATTGATGGTAAAGCCTCAGAGATGCAAACAAGACTGATGAGATTTGCCTCTCTGCAAGTCGTGATTGGAAGTACATGAAAGCCGTCACAGGTAGCTCTCATGTGGGCACAAGCACATCTCCAGGAATTCTGTTCCACCGAGGAAACGAATGGCAGAAACCATCAGTTTCTAGCAAATTGTATTCACCGCACGCAGCTGTGATGGAGACATGTACATGTACAAGTAGATCGTCGTAAGAGCTTGTCGGTTTGATGATTGTTTTCAACCCACCAAGGAAACAGAAATCAAGGCTTGTGAAATTCCTCGTAGTGTGACTTCACTCTTAAGAAATAGAATCATCTGTCGTTATTTTTTGAAATCATGTGGAGAAGGTGACTGTTGTGCTGTGATAGGCAACGGGATGCTGTAAGGGGTGTGAGTTTCTCAACATGCCTGCTGTCTATGTAAACACACTGACTGCCTAGGGGGCTCACGGTCCTGTGGTTAGATGGATAACCCTGCTGTGCGGAATCTACTGCCGTGGAAACCAAAACTGACATGAGGATTTCGATGCTTCACTACAAACTACACTAACTGAATTTGTTCGTACCGTAACTGGTAAATTATTTTTTTGGTGGAGAGGAGTGGTACGGCAAGGTTGCAAAAAATGGCACGGTACTTTGTAAACGGCAGATTTTGTCTGTCGTGTTTCTGTTTGATCGCTTGTGTTGGACTCACAGGTGCCCTGTACTATGAAGGCTCAGTGGATACATACACGCAGTATGAGCGGTGGAATACGTCCGTGAATGGAACCCTCCGATTCCAATTCAAGTCCAAACAGACGAACGTTTTGCTGGCGTACGCCGACGACATGAAACAAGTGGATTTCATGGAAATTGCCATGGAAGACGGCAGTCTTCTCCTTCACATGCGAATAAATAACAAGGGAAGGACCTTGATTGTTGGCGATAATGTGGACGATGGAGAATGGCACACCGTGGAAGTGATACGAAGCAATCCTAGAAAATTTACTTTCAAAGTGGACGGGGACGAACGATCGGGAACAATGGATGGTGAGATTATTGAGCTCCCAACACAGACGGACTTCTTCTTTGGTGGTATCCCACGTCAGGTTCGACGATCGCACTTGGCGCGGCCCGAGGCTCGGTCGCGGACACACCTCAAGGGTCACATACGCAACATTGCGTATTTGGTGCAGGCGCGGCCCAACCGGTGGCGCCGTCCAGAACAGCTGGCCTCCAATAACGTCCGGGAGGATTTCTCAGATCTGTGCAGCACCAACGACCCCTGCAAGAACGGCGGGTTGTGCGTGAGCGAGCAGGGCCGGTCGCGATGCGAATGCGACGGGACCGGTTTCGTGGGTGAAATCTGTGAGGAAGGTAAGTAGCGACAAAATCATACACATGTAACGCCGTGTCCAAATCGGCTGTTTTTGGCTGTGGCTTTGATCTCCGATATTGAAATGTAACAATAAATATTCAGAGCCGTAGCCACAACGCCCATTTGGACTTGGCCTAAGTTTTTAGCCTAGCATGGAACTGCATGACCACAAATTTGTCAAAATCAATTTGCCAGATTAGCGCTGTCTTTAAAAACATAACACTCAACTTTTATTTATTTCTTTTTTGATGAATGCTGACACAGAAAATCTTGCATTGGCATGCTGAAGTCCATGCAGTGTACTTGCATGTATGCGATGAATGATTTACACGAGCAGCTGAAAGCTTGATTAGATATGTACACATAGCCCAAAGGAATGTACAACTGCCTGCTGCATGTTTAATTGAATGCGCGTTACAGCGGACGTCATGTTCTGACAAACAACAAATTGCCTGAAGCCTGTCTGTCAATTATTTTGCAGAAGCTTTGGTATGTGTTTTGTGTCTGTGTAAATCTTGTTAATTAAGTTGTATCGCATGGACTTCCTTTAGACACTGCATCTGTGTATTTTGCTTTCTTTTTGAGATGAAGTGAGATCAAAGTAAACGATTTCTGTTGGTTTAAGATCAAAGTTAAACATTTCTGTTGTGTTAAAACGAAAGTGATATTTGTATGAAAGGTTGAGTGTGATGTTGTGAATGCGCGTGTTTTTCCTGAATTTTTAAAATTTGTTTTCGTGATGCGGTGCCTTTCTCAAAAGCCAAATAATGATGATGATAATGATAAGTGAAATTCAGAGTTAGGAGGAAAAGTGGCTAATTTTGAAAGTAAAGGAGTTTGATAGTTTGAACTTTGAGGGTCTAAGGCCTTGATCCATGTTGCCGCTGTTTTGCACACTGTATGCAATTGAAAATTGGTTTTGTCCACTTTATTGGGACCCTCTGATTTACATGTGATATGTTGGTCACTACTCTCTTAAGAAGGTCGCGATGGGCCATCTATAGTTTTTAAACGGAGTCCATACATGTGGGTAGCCCTGCAAATTCACAAACGTTGGAACACACCTCAAGGCTGGTGCATTTCACAGGGAATATTCTCTGTGACATCAAATTCGCCTCACACCGCCTATCATTTGAATTTGAAAGGACAAAGCTATTTGAGTTTTCCGCAGTCCAACCTTCCCCCACCCCCTAAAAACATGTAAAGCCCAAAAGCCCAATTACAACATAACAGTCAACAATACAAAAGAGACTGAAATTGTAAAAGAAGGAAATTGGGATGCGATTGACTGGAGTTATACATGTACTAATGTTCTCTTTGACCCCAATTTGCATGTTGACCCCAAGTGGGCGTGGTAGTCCTTGGTGAAGCAATTTTACCACATTTTTCATCATCAATGTAATGTTTTACGTTATAGCGATACGTTATGGAGTGTTTTTGTAATATTTAACTATTCAAAGTCTGTAAGAAACAAATTTGCCAAAAAAGCAAAACAAAACAAATCATTTTTTTCACGTGCCAACCTATACATAGTAAGTACACATATACTGAAATTTGTATCCTTGTGGAGACATTTCTTTGTTCTCGTGTTCTAGTTTTCGAGTTTGAAAGTACAGTTACAAAATGCTCTTATTTTATCCAGAATTAATTTCCTCGGCTGAAATTCAGACTTAATATCCCTTTTCTAAAACTCTACCATTTGCTACAGATCAACATACATGTACCTTGGAAATTCCTAGTTTTTGAGTAAAATCCATATATCTATTTCGTGAAAACCTTGTGGAGACGTATTCATCTAGAAATTGTCCTGTGGAGACGTATACAATGTTTTGTTCCCTATTGTGTGCATGTCTCCAGAGGGCACGGTGTATCAGATCCTGCATACAATAACCAAGCCTCTCCATTAAGTATTGCATTTTGTGCTTGTGCACACTCTTTAGTAACACACACACATCAGACAGCTAGACAGACAGACAGACAGACATCGTAGGATCTTGTAATATAGGATGCATACACTTGTATGAGATTTCTTTCATAATTTGAAATGGAGTTCAGAACTTAGGTGACGGTATTGAAGTCATTTATTTCTTTCCTATACAGACTAAAGTTTAGTTCTGCCAAGGTGCTGCAAGCATGTCACTCCCTGTTTATTATTGTTATTGCAAGGACCGTCTGTTTATGTACCGTACGTTCCGCTTGAGTTTTCCGATTGAAACTGTCGGTCGTGAAGCGTCATCGCATGTGGACTGTCCGTCGTCGGATTCCGGTGTCACATGAGCTCGACGCCCGCACTAATTATGTTATGATATTTGATATCTGACCAATTAACTCTCTGATTGGGAAAAATCCACCAGGGGAGATCCTGTAGGGAGGTCCAGGAATTTTTTTCTTTTACTGCCGCGGCTGAATGATCGCATCGATTGGACCATCTGTGGTGTGGAATTTTTATGTGCTCTGTTTTGAATGATGTATGAGCATGAGGTCGAGTGTGCGGAGTCGGAAGACAACATGATTGGGACAAGTTGGGTTTATTTCTGGTGCTGTGGCAAGCAATTGGTTGACTGGGCTAGCAACAGTTTTCAAAGAACACTTAATTTTGGTGGATTGGGCTTTTAGACAAGGCAAAGAGTCAGTAAAGGACTTCACAAGCTGTGGTCGACGTTGATGTTTGGTCAAAATGCTGTTTTCCATTCAAAATTTATAAAAGTCTAGGAAAAAACCACCTGACGAAACAAGATTTATGAAAATGTTGTTTTGATATTGGAGTAAAGACTGAACTTTATGCTAACAAGATTTTGGTTTGAATTAAGTAGGGCCTACACTGTACAACATTTGAAACAGGAGCAACTATATGTACATCAAAAGATTGACCGTTACAATAATTCAAAATGACTCCAGAGTCTAGTCAATGGAAAAATCAGTTCTTTAGCACTCTTTTTACAATGTACTTTGCTGTATACTCCTTGGTAAATCCTTAAAATCAAAGAGTGCTCACGTGGTTTGTGGCAGTACAAGTTGTAATGTGCAGGGTGCTTTGGGGAGGGGCGCAGGAATTAATGGTTAATACATAAATGTTGCTTCTTTTGAACCAAAATCTATTTGGGTTGACCAGAGTTGCTCTCAGTAATTATAATTGGGGCAGTATTTGGAAAAAAAGTCCGGTGTTTTCCAACAATGGTCAGTTGACCATTGTAGAAGTTAATTATTAAACATGTGCGAGTGGAATTCTGACTAGTGCCTATACAAAATCTTGTACCATGAAAGTTCTTCATGTGGCTATTACACAAAAACAGCACATTTTCGATGGAGTTGCGTGATTGTTCATAGTTTGCTTTTTAATGAATTTTCCAGCTTCCAAGCTTCCAGCTTCCATTAGCACACCTACAATACAAGGCTAACCAGTAATTTGGAAAGAATCTCTCACAATGGGCTGACGAGCCAATCAGAAATCCCGGTCATTAGCGTCAAATATTGATGCCTATATAATCAGAAAGAAAAAGTCGCAATTTGCTGACAGTGTGGTGATAAGGATAAGCCAGTCAGTGGACCTTGACAAATGAAATCATTAAAGATTCACCAATCAGCATTGTTGTTTTTTTCCTCAATTCCTGTATTGATGAATTTCCTGTCTGACAAATTTTGTCCTTGCATTTTTGGTGTGGAATCATACAATTCTCAGGAAAGTGCTTTGAACTGTCTGGACAGTAACATTGTTTTAGTATCTGAACTGGGATGTTTTGGTGTTTACCAATCCAAAAGGCAATGAACATAGATTTGATATGTTTAAATATATTGATATTGAGCCCTTTCTGAAATCACATGTAGTGAGACCATCCTTTGTTGGGATGGGCAACTTTTTGGATTTAGATTTTGTTGATAAGATCATTTTTACCCCTGACATTTCTATGCTTTTAGTTTTAAGTTGTGTTCTTCTGATATCAAAAAGCTGTGTCCAATAACTGCCATGTTATGTGAATGCTCAGTCTGATAGCAAATAACGTGTGCGCATCGTGCGACCATCCACTTGCGCATTCATGCGCACACCACGAGTGTTCGCGTGACATGGCGGTTGTAGGATGCAGCATTTTGTAATCAGAAATTTCAGGCGTGGCAGATGTAGGTTTTTTTTTAAAGATGACTATGGATGAGGATCATGTGGGATTCAGTAGGTTTTTTTCTTTACAGAATACATGCATCAGAGGGAGGCTTGGTTTAAAAGTATCTATTGCAATGACAATCTGAAAAACCACGTATCCCTTTCTAATGGTAAAACTACCCCCACTCGCAATCCAAATTTAAAAAAAAAAGGTGCATGCATACTCTTCCCTTGCAACCCAACTCCGTGGAGTAGTTAAATTGGAATATGTGGATACTCCTCACTTGGATCCCAAGTTGGAATAGGTCGTGAATGCAAGTACCCGTCACTTGTAAACCAGAGTACAATTCCCACGTTGGAATCTGTAGATAAATACTTCTCATCTACAAACCAAGTTGGAATCCTTGTATATCCCTCACTTGAGTGAAAGCGGTGGTTCCCTTGTATGGCTCAATATCCCTCATCTGAAATCTAAGTTGGAAGCAAATAATAGTCACTTATTTTAAAAATGGAGAATAGTTTGTGGGGAAAAAAGCCAATGGATAAAATAGCATAAACCTGTTGATTCAACTTTGTACCTGACCAAATCCAATTTAAAATGCAATCATTGGCAGGGAAATCCAAACTCTGTGAAGTATTAAACTTCAGAGTTCAATCATGAGAAAGTAACGTTGCTACGAAAAGAACGAGATATCGCAGAATGATCGGACAAATCCTACTTGTGTGTATCCCCTCCCGTATCTGATACCTTTAATGCAGGATGACTGTAGGCTACGCCCAAGCAACGACTTGTAATCACGCGAGCGTGGTGCGGTAGACACAAAAATCAATCACAGGACCCTTCCTTCCAGTCTGTTACGCCACATCACAGGAGGCAGTTTGCACAAAGATTTTTGTCTTAAT